TAGAATCATAGAATGGGAAGGGACCCTGAGGATCATCTAGTCCAACCCCCTGCAATGCAGGAAGACGTAGCTGTCCCATACAGGGATCGAACTTACAACCTTGGTGTTATCAGCACCACAGTCTAGTCAACTGAGCTATCCAGCTGATCTAGTTTAAGTTTGAGCCCTGTTCATGGATTCAGCTGGTAAAAGGTCTCATGGTGATCATCCCTCCATTTTTAACATTCTATAACTCCACCAGATTGCAGAAGTCTTTTTGGCTTTGGGGGGCTGCATGACTTTGAGGGGCCACCTAGCTGCTGTCGTCCTCCTGCCGCCGCCCCCCCCTTTGATGATTTGGTCCAGAAATAACTGGGTGTTTTATATCCCCTTAACGGGAGCTAAATGTGTGCAAAGCAGCCTGCAGTCTCTACCCCCAAACCACCACCACCCCGCCAGCCCCAAGCTCCCCCCCCTCCGCTCCATTACCGTATTGATCGGGGAGATATTGCAGAAGACAGAAGAGCAAGAACTTCTGATTGCTGGCACTTAGCTTGACAGCAATCCAATAGCCTTGAGATCCTGATGTACAGTCTAGAGCCGTCATCATTGGTAGTGGGCTGGGGGGGTGGGAGGGGAGGGGGGGAAGGCCAGGGGGCAGGTTAAGGAGCACGGCAAGGACCTCTCCCTGAGACGCAACTGAAATCGAAAAGACAGCCGCTTCCTTCCAGGTTCTTAGGACTGCAACCAATTAAATACTGCAATTAAATATTTTTGTGCTACTGTTTCACAAAGAGTTTTCCAAACTGTGTGTCACGACACATTAGTGTGTTGGCTGCAGCCTGCAGAGGTGTCGCACAAACACTCCTTGCACTCATTCCGGGACTAGAAAGGGGGTAGTTTAACCTCCGCTTTGCTAGCAAAACTGAATTTTGCTGTGTCGCGAAATTATGCGTGTCTAAAAAGTGTGTGACCAACATTACAAGATTAATAATAATAATAATAATAAATTTTATTTATATCCCGCCCTCCCCAGCCGAAGCCAGGCTCAGAGTGGCTAACATCAAATGTATAATAAAGGTAAAGGTACCCCTGCCCGTACGGGCCAGTCTTGACAGACTCTAGGGTTGTGCGCCCATCTCACTCTAGAGGCCGGGGGCCAGCGCTGTCCGGAGACACTTCCGGGTCACGTGGCCAGCGTGACATCGCTGCTCTGGCGAGCCAGAGCCGCACACGGAAACGCCGTTTACCTTCCCGCTAGAAAGCGGTCCCTATTTATCTACTTGCACCCGGGGGTGCTTTCGAACTGCTAGGTTGGCAGGCGCTGGGACCGAACAATGGGAGCGCACCCCGCCGCGGGGATTCGAACCGCCGACCTTTCGATCGGCAAGCCCTAGGCGCTGAGGCTTTTACCCACAGCGCCACCCGCGTCCCCTCAAATGTATAATACATTAACATAAAATCAGACAGTCAATTAAAATGCATCCTCAAATCAGATCAGGATCAGAATAAAATCCAGAATAAAATTAGAAATCTTAGAAGCTTGCTGGGTGGTGTACAAGGCATAGAGCCTACAGTTATCATGGTTGTATTTCTTCCTATAGACATAGAAGCATAAGGCTAGCATCACGCAGCTCCCACTGAAGGATTTATAGTGCCTTCTCACAGTCTTGGGTTTGCACAGACAGGGCAGGGGACGGGAACCCCAAGTTTGAAAGAGCTGTCAGAGGAAGTGGGGAGGACTGTAAAGGGAGGGGGTTGGTGAGCAGCACAAGCGGGGGTAGCCACCCCTAGTTTAAAATAGTTAAATATTTATTGGTTTGCTGCATAAGTCGCCTTGAGAGCTTTGGGTAATACAGTACGGCCACATTTCATGGCCGTTTAGCTTGTGCAATCTCAGCCTTGAGTTGTGTAAGACTGGCTGGTTGAAATTGTGCAAATTAAATGCATGCGAAGTTTTCTCGGCTTGAAAAGAGCTTTTAAGCTCTCTGGCTTGGTCTGCTGGGCAAGGTCCTCTGGGCTCACCAGTTCTGGAAGCCTGGGGGCGGCCCTGCGAGATATCGTGAGAACTCGAACAGACCCACGAGATCTTGCGAGAGCATCGCCAAGGCAGCACACTGAGCAGGTCTAGAAAGCTTTTAAGCTCTCGGCCTTGTTTGCTGGGCAAGTCCTGCTCAGCATACCAGCTCTGGGAGGGCAAGGATTTTCGCATGGGGGGGTGGTTCAAGTATATGCATTTTTGCATATATGTGGAAGCCTTGGAACAGAACTCCAGCCTAAGATGCAATCGTACTGCAAAGTTATAAGAAGGCTTTCAAGGGATCTATTCAAAACCACCATCAAACCATAGGTCATCTCTCTGTCCAGAGATGCATTCTGTGATTTGTTGCCAGTTTTGTTGTCATCCAAGAAAGAGAGAGAGAGAGAGAGAGAGAGAGAGAGAGAGAGAGGAGGAGATTAACAAGGAGCAATGTCTTGAATCATCATAGAATTGTAACATTGGAAAGGAGCCCAATGGTCTTCCTACACTCAAGTAGGACCCTAGCAGAGACACATGCCCAACTGGCATGTTCTCTCCCTCCTGGTCAATCATTCGGGAGCTTCAAAAGCTTTCTTCAGCCCGAACATCACAGAGACTGATGCCAACAGACATCAGCACACTTGGGGATCCGCAGAGTCTTCGCAGCTTATGTAACAGACCTCAGCAACTCAGCATTTTGGCTAATCTACTTTATTTACATATAAACACACAAGGCACACTGCAACATGGCTCCCTTTCTCTCTAGCATCAGACAGCAAAGAGAAAAAGAACAAAGGACAATAGTCCCACTTCCCAGAACACAGTAATGCAAACATCCTTTCTCCGTCACTTCCCACTCTGTCGAGTCAAAACATACACCGTCATGTGGTAGACAAAAATCCCATGACTGCAATCACGGAGCAGGAATTCTAACAGTCCAACCCACTGCAGTGCAGGAATTATTTGCCCAACGAAGAGCAATCTGCTTGTCGTGCTGGCAAGCACCAGACCTGTAATCTTTTTTTTTTTTACCTGCACAGTCTCCCAATGTAAACTTTTTATCTGTTAGTGGTTGGGGTTCCCCTCCCCCCCCCCGTGTCAAATTATGCAAATCCTAAAAGATACGGCTTTCACTCCATAGAAATGCAAAGAGTTTGTGTGGGTACGTGCATGTGTTTTCTCTGTCTGGTGTGATCCAGAGTGGCTGCAGGAGAAGCGACTGAGACGGGCCTGAGTGTCCACAGCTCTGTGTCAGAATTCCAGATATGCCCACAAGATCCCAAAAGCTGGTGATCCCTGCAATGGGATATGCAAATACGTTTTTGCATGCAGCTGGTCTGCTCAGAGCTGTCATGCGGGGAATGTTTAAGGAGCTACCAAGAAATAAGTTGCTAGCTTGTTGCGTGTGTGTGTTTGTGTGTGTGTGTTTGCCTGCTGAAGATACAGATTATTGTATGGATGGTTGTCGCCTTCTAGTGGAAATCCGTCGAGACGTGAAGTGCCCTGTGATCCCAGCCACAGGTCACTCGAGAAGAGCATTATGTGGTTGCAATGTTCAAAGAGGCACAGGGAGGCAGGGCCAGTGCAAGGACTAAATGTGTTTTCTCTTCTTCTTTTAACATTTTTTAATTAGATTTTCACATTTTTATACACTTTCTTGTTGTTGTCGGTTAGTCGTGTCCGACTCTTCGTGACCCCATGGACCAGAGCACGTCAGGCACTCCTGTCTTCCACTGCCTCCCGCAGTTTGGTCAAACTCATGCTGGTAGCTTTGAGAACACTGTCCCACCATCTCGTCCTCTGTTGTCCCCTTCTCCTTGTGCCCTCCATCTTTCCCAACATCAGAGTCTTTTCCAGGGAGTCTTCTCATGAAAGTGGCCACAGTATTGGAGCCTCAGCTTCAGGATCTGTCCTTCCAGTGAGCACTCAGGGCTGATTTCCTTAAGAAAGGATCGGTTTGATCTTCTTGCAGTCCATGGGACTCTCAAGAGTCTCCTCCAGCACCAGAATTCAAAATTTATACACTTTATCTCTAACCAATTCAAACATTATATTACAAGGTTCTCTGAATCTTCAAACTTCCTCTCCTCCCTCCTGTGGGTTCTTATATTGAAAGTTTAAGTTTTCTGCATCTTTTACTTAATCCAACTATTGTTTACCCTCAGTTATCACAATCAATTTCACATTACAAATGTCATTACAACGCTACCAATGATTTTAACTGTTTACAGTGGTTTTTTAAGGAAACTAGGAATTTACTCCAGTCTCTAACAAATACTTGATCCTCTTGGTTTCTGATCTTCCCCATCAGTTTCGCCATTTCCGCATATTCGTCTGCCATTCTTCCTTCATTGGTAATTCTTCTTCTTTCCATTTTTCGGCCAGTAACATACTTGCGGCTACCGTTGCATACATAAAAAATCTTCTGTCTTCTCTTGGTAGTTCTCCACCTATTAAACCTAATAGAAAGGTTTCTGGTTTCTTAAGAAATGTATTTTAAAACATTTTCTTTAATTCATTATAAATCATTTCCCAGAAGTCTTTTGCCTTAAAACATGCCCACCACATATGATAAAATGTACCTTCTCCCACTTTACATTTCCGACATAAATTTCATTTAGTTTTATTCATTTTTGCAATCTTTTGTGTTTTCTCATGTGAGGCTTTGCTTTGAACCAATTCCCAAATTATGAACCCTCAGAGCTCACAAACATTTTCAGCAACGCCAAAAAAATAATAAATGCCTTCCCAATACTGTCAGTTTTTGGGCACTGATAGTGAAAACGCCAGAGGCTGGCATTGTTGGGCATTGGGCAAGGCCCATGTTTTATGTGTACGTACACCTGTACCAGGTTGATTGTAAATAGCACATTTGCTTGAAATGATAATAATGAACGAATGAATAATCATCGAAAGGTATAACTCTTGCAGGGTGGTTGCATTAAGGTTTGCCTTCCAAGAGGGACTGTCATCAGCCTCTCCTTTGTTTCCCTCCCCACAGGAAGTGCTACTCAAGAGAGCGGCTGACCTGGTGGAAGCGTTATATGGGATGCCGCACAACAACCAGGTAGGCCTCAGACTCCTCTTGGGGTATACCTGAAGGAGCGTCTCCACCCTCATCATTCAGCCCAGACACTGAGATCCAGCTCCAAGGGCCTTCTGGTGGTTCCCTCATTGTGAGAAATGAACCAGGCAGAGGGCCTTCTCAGTGGTGGCACCCGCCCTGTGGAACGCCCTCCCTTCAGATGTCAAAGCAATAAACAACTATTTTACTTTTAAAAGACCCCTGAAGGCGGCCCTGTTTAGGGAAGTTTGTCTGACGCTGTATTGGTTTTGATATTTGGTTGGAAGCCAGCCAGAGTGGCTGGGGAGACCCAGTCAGATGGGCGGGGTATAAATAATAAATTATATTATTATTATTGCGTGCTCATCTCGCTTAAGAGGCCGGGAGCCAGCACTGTCCGGAGACACTTCCGGGTCACGTGGCCAGCGTGACGAAGCTGCTCTGGCGAGCCAGCACCAGCGCAGCGCACGGAAACGCCGTTACCTTCCCGCTATAAAGCGGTACCTATTTATCTACTTGCACCTAGGGGTGCTTTCTAACTGCTAGGTGGGCAGGAGCTGGGACCAACCGACGGGAGCTCACCCCGCCGCGGGGATTCGAACCGCCGACCATATGATTGGCAAGTCCTAGGCACTGAGGTTTTACCCAGAGCGCCACCCGCAGGACCCCCTCCTATATCTGTGGGTCCTGAGTGTTGCCTTTTACATTTTCCCACAATGCCCCAGGGTGCCCAGCGTATCATCACTCTGGTGCATTGTGGGACTTCTTCAAGGGCAGTCTTAGGCGGAGTCAAGCCAATGGTCCATTCAGCTCAGTCGTGGAATCAGAGAAAGGTAGAATTGGAAGGGATCCTGAGGGTCATCTGTTCCAACCCCCTGCAATGAAGGAATCTCAACTGAAGCACCAACTCTTTCTGCACTTTGGCAGGAAGGACCAACTGCACCAATATAAAATGGGAGACACCTGGCTTGCCCGTAGTACATGTGAAAAGGATCTGGGTGTCTTGGTGGACCACAAGCTGAACACGAGTCACCGGTGTGATGCAGCAGCAAAAAAAGCTAATGCTATTCTAGGCTGCATCCACAGAAGTCTAGTGTAGGGTTACCCATAGGCGCCGACTCCATGGGGCCTGAGGGGGCCCGAGCCCCCTCAAAAATTCATTTGGGCGGGCTCCGCCCCCCCAATAATTTAAGAAAATTATTAGTTCGGCCTCATTACGCCCCCCCCCCGGCAATTCTCTGCCAGCCGCTTCATTCCGCTTCCACGCGCCTCGGATAGAAGGTGACGCGCGCCGCTACCTTCTGTCGCCTCCGTCACCATTTATGGGGAAAAGCAGGAGGAGGAGACCGGAGGCGCCCAAAATAAAACTGTAACGGCATTCAGCACTCCGCCTCCCCGGTGGGATCCCGCACGGGCGGCCGGGCAAACGACGAGCCGAGGGAGAAAGTCTGCCTTTCAGCCCTGGCTGACTGACAACTTCCCGGGGCAGGACCCCGGTATGGGCCCCCCCAATATTTTTTATAAGTCGGCGCCCCTGGGGTTACCAGACGTCCCCGGTTTCTGGGGACAGTCCCTGGATTTGCAAATCTGTCCCTATGGGGACTTCCGGCAAGGAAAAATGGCGGGCGCCACGGCAGCAGGCGGCGAGCAGCTCCTGAAGCCAGCCAGAGCCAGCTGCACTACCAGCTGCAATGCGGCTCGGGAGTCACGGGCGAGTGGCGCGCCGTTGCCCAGTTTTTTAAAAACTCTGTGCATTTATGTTTCACAGGGTGCAAAAGAAGGGCTTTGCACCTTGCCTGGCAGAGAAACCGCGTGCCTTGTGCCCCTCCTGGGCAACGGCCGGCTGCCCGTGACTCCTGAGCCTCCCCCGATCTGTCAAAACAAAGTGGGAAGGGGGCAGGAGATCAGGGGAGGCTCGGGAGACACGGGCGAGTGGCGCGCCGTTGCCCAGTTTTTTAAAAACTCTGCGCATTTATGTTTCACAGGGTGCGAAAGAAGGGCTTTGCACCTTTATACAATATGCATGTGTGCTTGGGCCCAGGGTCTTTTGCCTCACCATCCCAACTACAGTGGTACCTCGCAAGACGAATGCCTCGCAAGACGGAAAACTCGCAAGACGAAAGGGTTTTTGGTTTTTTGAGTTGCTTCGCAAGACGATTTTCCCTATGGGCTTGCTTCGCAAGACGGAAACGTCTTGCAAGTTTGTTTCCTTTTTCTTAACACCGTTAATACAGTTGCAACTTGACTTCGAGGAACAACTCATAGCACGCGGTGTGGTAGCCTGTTTTGAGGTTTTTGAAGACTTTGGTGATTTTTAAAGCTTTTCCAAAACTTTTCCGAAACCGTGCTTCGCAAGACGAAAAAATCGCGAGACGAAAAAACTCTTGGAACGAATTAATTTCGTCTTGCGATGCACCACTGTACTGACTCCCTGTTGCTACTCAGCTTCCAAAAAAAAAGAGGGGGTCCCCGGATTCATTGGAAAAAATCTGGTAACCATAGTCTAGTGTCCTGATCAAGGCTGGAGGCCATCTCTGCCTGCTGTGGGAAGGAGTTCTGCAGTTTTAACGATGTGCTACCTGTCCTAGCGACATGAGCTCACTCAGCTGCCTTGAGCAAGCCACTGCTCACTCCTCCTCAATATCCTTATGCGTAGAATAGCCTGCTTCATAGGATTGTTGTAAGGACAGCTGAAATAGTGCCCAGCAAGCCATGAGTCTTTTAATCACGGGGTCGTGGGTTCGAGGCTCACTTTAATAATAATAATTATTATTTATGCCCCGCCCTTCCCAGTTCAGAAAACCGGGCTCAGGGTGGCTAACAACAAATTTAAAACACTTAATTGATGCAACAGAAAACAGCATAAAATGTGAATAACAATAAATTCAGAATTCAAAAATCAATTTAGGGAGGGAAATCCATCTAATAAACATTAGATCAGTGTTTCCCAACCTTGTGCCTCCAGCTGTTTTTGGCCTACAATTCCCATCATCCCTTGCCACTGGTCTTGCTAGTCAGGGATGATGGGAGTTGTAGGCCAAAAACATCTGGAGGCACAAGGTTGGGAAACACTGCATTAGATGATCACCAGGGCTAGCTGGCTAAATGAGTCCTATTTGGGCCAGCGAGGAGACCAGGGGAGAATTAGCCGTGGGATCCCAGAGTGGGTAATCTTCATAAAAAGGGGAGAGGGGAAGGAAGGGGAATAAAAGATCAGGCACGATTCCTGCAGTGCATGGGGTTGGACTAGAGGACGTTCGGGGTCCAACTCCCGGAACCAAAGAATTCTAGAGTTGGAGGGGACCCCAAGGGGCATCTAGTCCAACTCCGTGCAATGCAGGAAAAAGCATCCATGACTCTATAATTCTAGGATTCTGTAAGCCCTCAGGGCACCCAAAAGTGCTACATATAAATGCGGACCCTTTACGACTTGTGTATCTCGCCCCCGTTCCACATGGGGGTCCCTGGCCCAGCCGTCAGCCGCCAGTGAGGTCCCTACATGCCCCTCCCCTCCCAGGTGCATCTAGCACCTTTGCAGTGGGAGTTTCCTTCCTTGCGATACTTGAGAGTTGTGTTTCCGGGACCCCACCCCTCTCCTTGTCCCTGCTGGAAACCATTTTCTTTTTAACAACTGTACTTTTCTCTCTAATTGCCGTAACCCGCCCTGGGACCTGCGGTGTAGGGTGGGAGAGGAATCAAAATATTGTTGACGGTGCAGAAGGAGCAGCACATGTTTGTATCTTGCGCAGGTCGGTGGATTTGGCGGGGGATGTTTTTTCAGAGCGGCGTTCCAGGGACCCCGGTCATCCGGCCCATTTTTACGTCTCTCTCTCGGTCCCACTGCCAGTAATTGCTTCCATGTCCCGGACCTTGTTTGCTACCTCTCTCCCACACACACACACACACACACACACACACACTCCCAACCTTGCATCCAGCTAGCTGGGCCCCATACGAAGGGCCTGGCTCTCCAGCCCCACATCTGTTCGTCATTAGGAATTCCAGGGCTGTTAAGTCACGGGCTCAAGGCGGCCCCATCCTTCCCGCACCCCCGTAACTGGGCCCAGCCGGTGCTTTCATGGCTCAGTAGCGGTTAGCACCACCTGCACGGATATTGCTTTGGGCTCGTGGAGGCGTGGGGTCAGGCCATCGGCTGGGAGGCGTTCGACTCTGCGATGGGGCCTTGTTTTCCTCCTCCAAGTCCCTCGTCGCTCTTCCCTTCCCAGGACATAAATCTTCGCCCGCTCGCAAACAAAATGGTGGGCCTCAGCTCTCACCCTGTTCTCCCAGGGGAAACCCGGGCCGGGCTACATGTTACTCTCGGAGCAGGAACGAAGAGGGTGCCAATCCGATCCTGAAGGATGCTGAACCTCCCTCAGAAGCAGGCAGGGAAACCTGGGTGTTGCCCCGTATAGATGTCAGCCAGTAGGAGAAGGAGGATGAGGGCAAAACTAGAATTAAGATGGCGGTCTCTCCTTCCCTTTTTAAGCAGAGGTTGGGCGGCCATCTGCCAGGGATTCTTGAACCGTGATTCCTGCATTGCAGGGGGTTGATCCTTGGGGTCATTCTGCCTTGGTCAGACCTCACCACAAGTCCAGTGTCCAGTTCTGGACAGCACAGCTTAAAGAGGATATTGACTAGCTTGCAGGTCTGCAGAGGAGGGCGACCAAGATGGTCAAGGGTCTGGAAACCAAGCCTCAGGAAGAAGGCTTGAGGGAGTTGGGGGTGTTTAGCCTGGAGAAGAAGGGATTGGTATGTGACATGGGGGCTTCATAGATCTTAAGGGCTGTCCCAAGAAAGATGGACAAGCTTTTTCCCCAAACCAATGCATTCCATGACAAGAAATAAGAACTTTCTGACAGTTAGGGCTGATAGACAGTGGAAAGGTATCCCACAGGAAGTTGTGGGCTCTCTTTGCTTGGAGGTTTTTAAGTAGAGGTGGGGGGGGGCTTCTGTCAGTTATTCTTTTGTTGACAATCCTGCATTGTAGGGGGTTGGTCTAGATGACCCTTTGGGGTCCCTTCCAACTCTACAATTCTATGATTCTATGAGCTTTGGGGGTCCCTTCCAACTCTATTATTCTCTAAAAAACAGTTGCCTCTGGCGCCACCTACTGTTGGGCTCCCAGCCTTCTGCCGCACCTGCTCCCAATGGGCGGCAACGTTCAAACCAAGTGAAACTGAAACCACGACAGTGATGATGTTCATAGAGCTAAAGGGACCCCTGACCATTAGGTCCAGTCGTGGCCGACTCTGGGGTTGCGGTGCTCATCTCACTTTATTGGCCAAGGGAGTCGGCGTACAGCTTCCGGGTGATGTGGCCAGCATGACTAAGCCGCTTCTAGCGAACGGAACGCCGTTTACCTTCCCGCCGGAGTGGTACCTATTTATCTACTTGCACTTTGACGTGCTATCAAACTGCTAGGTTGGCAGGAGCAGGGACTGAGCAACGGGAGCTCACCCCGTTGCGGGGATTCGAACTGCCTCTTAGACTCTGTGGTTTAACCCACAGTGCCACCCACATCCCGATGATGTTCATACATGGACTTATTTGCAATATTAATTAATGGAATTATTCCATCGGTCGGATTGCGGATGTCTGCGTTCTCTCCCCTCTCTCCCAGGACATAATTCTGAAGCGAGCGGCGGATATTGCTGAGGCTTTGTACAGCGTCCCGCGCAACCCCAACCAGTTGACCTCGCTGACCGGGAACCATGCCCACTCGGGCATGATGAATGTCAACTCCTTTGGGAGCCAGCTGGCCATCAACATCAGCGAATCCACCCAGGGCTCGGAGCAAGGTAGGCAGCGGCTGGGCGTCTTCTCTGTGGCTCTCGCGTGACCATTCCTGGGAGCCAGCATCAGAGGCCGTCCTTTGAGGACCTTCCACAAGATATGTCTCAGAGAGGGTGGCAACAAGGGGGTGGCCTTTGCATGTTTTACTATGTTTTTAGACATGCTGGCAGCCACACAGAGTGGCCGGGGCAACCCAGTCAGATGGGCAGGGTACAAATAAAAAATGATGATGATGATGATGATGATGATGATTGTCTGTTTTGCAAGCAGAAGGTCCCAGGTTCAATCCCTGCCACTTCCAGGTAGTAGTAGTAGTTATTATATTAGTGGCTACCACCCGCAGTCACCCTAGCAAGGCTGCCATTATCACCTCTTCAGTACCAGTTTATGGCACTCCCAGGCTTTTGATGGGGTGTGATTGGATCATTATCTATATCTATATCTATATCTAACTGCCTTATTCTAATAATCGTTCCTGATTATTTCATCTCTTTATAGTGGTGGTGTGTTTCTTATTTTATGGAACTTGTTGTTGCAAAAAAACAACAACAAGAAAACCCCAGATTTGTAGAGTTCATCTCGTCCAACCCCCTGCAGATGCCCCCTCCAAGCTCTGTTGGTTTCATTGTTGTATACCTGAATCTAACATTGTGAGTCAAGGAAGGAAGGAAGGATGGAAGGAGAGGAAGGGAGAGAAAGAGAGAAGGGGGAGAGAAAGATGGATGGAAGGAAGGAAGGAAGGAAGGAAGGAAGGAGAGGAAGGGAGAGAAAGAGAGAGAAAGAGAGAGGGGGGAGAGAAAGAAAGATGGAAGGAAGGAAGGAAGGAAGGAGAGAGAGGTGAGAAAGAAGGAAGGAAGGAAGGAAGGAAGGAAGGAAGGAAGGAAGGAAGGAAGGAAGGAAGGAAGGAAAGAAGGAAGGAAGGAGTGGAAGGGAGAGAAAGATAGATAGGAAGGAATGAAGGGAGAGAGAGGAGAGAAAGATAGAAGGAAGGAAGGAGAAAGAGGAAGGGAGAAAAAGAGAGAGGAGAGGAAAAAAGGGAGGGAGGGAGGGAGGGAGGGAAGGAGGAAGGAAGGAAGGAAGGAAGGAAGGAAGGAAGGAAGGAAGGAAAGAAAGAAAGAAAGGAAGGGGAGAAAGGAAGGAAGGAAGGAAGGAAGGAAGGAAGGAAGGAGAGGAAGGGAGAGAAAGAGAGAGGGGGAGAGAAAGATAGATAGGAAGGAATGGAGGGGGAGAGAGGAGAGAAAGAGAGAAGGAAGGAAGGAGAGGGAGGAAGGAGAGGAAGGGAGAAAAAGAGAGAGAGGAGAGAAAGTTAGATAGGAAGGAAGGAAAGAAGGAAGGCAAGACATCTTAAGATACTTACTAAACTGAGCAACTATCTAACTTCCTGCCCTACCTTCCAGGGTACACACGCAACACAAGCAGTGTCTCGCCACGAGGCTATGTCCCCAGCTCCACCCCGCAGCAGAGCAACTACAACACCATCACGTCCAGCATGAACGGCTATGCAGGGACTGCCATGACCAGCCTGGGGGTTCCGGGGTCCCCCAGCTTCCTCAACGGCTCCACGGCCAACTCCCCCTACGCCAGTAAGTGTCTGTCGCCTTTGCGGAAGGGCGGGTCGAGGGTGCCTAGGCAGAGCTTCCCTTTCCTGAGAATCGCAGCTCCGTTTTAAGAAGGCTAAGGGACTAGTCCTCATGGTAGGGGAAGCTGCACTTGGGAACGCGTAAGCCTGGGAACTCCTGGGTAAGGTCCGAGGATAGACAAATCCCTGTCTCTGATTTCTCAGTTTCTCACTTTACCAATCCTGAATCTAGTTCTCCACATTTTGCAGCAATTTGTGAAAATTCATCAGACTTTCAGTGTCAATTTGGTATCACTGTACTCTTCCCAGCGTCAGCTAAAAACATTTTTGTTTAGACAAGCCTACCCAGAAATCTAGAAGGGTGGTTTGTTTCTAGTTTATTGCTGACTTTAATTTCTGGAACATTTTAATGGCTCTTTCTTAATAATACTTTTATTGCTTATTCTTTTTTTTGTAAAGTGCTCTGAGGGTTATTTTCTTTACAATCAAGCAGTATATAAATTTATGAAGTGATTAAAAAAAATAAAAAATTCACCAAATGTTCACATTTTTGCATGCAATATACACATTTTTGCATGCAATTTCCTCCAATATAATGCTTTTTGGCACGTTGTTTTTGCTAATATATGCTTTTCTTGGTCACACTGCCCTGTGATACAAACGTTTTCCCACACATTGCTTCATTGGAGAACTGAGTTGCAAAATTCGGAGGAGTGCCGAATTTTGAACGGTAGCTACATTTCAGTTCCTGTGCATTGGTTCGTAGAATCATAGAACTGTAGAATTGGAAGGGACCAAGAGGGTCATTGAGGCAAACCCCTGCAAACTTAATAAATAATAATGATAATGTGCTGTGGGGGGGGGATTTATGGTTTGTTTTATGTTCCTATTTTTAATATGTACAGTCGTACTTGGGTTGTCGAATGCCTTGGCACTCGTACTTTTCGGCTCCTGAACGATCAAAACCCGGAAGCGAGTGTTCCAGTTTCTGAACGTTTTTTTGGAAGCCGAACGTCCGATGCGGCTTCTGCTATTGTTTCTGGTGCGCCTGCGCAAGCGGAAGCCTATCAGAAGCCACGTCTTGGTTTCCTAATGTTTCAAAAGCGAGTGTTCCAGTTACTGAACGTGTTTTTGGAAGCCAAATGTCCGATGCGGCTTCCGCTATTGTTTCTGGTGCGCCTGCACAATCGGAAGCCAATCGGAAGTCGCGTCTTGGTTTCCAAATGTTTCGGGAGTCGAATGGACTTCCGGAACGCATTCTGTTCGAAAACCAAGGGACGACTGTATTTTAGTGTTGTGGGTTCACCGTATAAAAAACACAAAGTACAGTCCGATGGGGTCCACCTCCTCTCGCCCCGGCTCACTCCTGCTGCCAGCTAACCCCTGTCCTTCTTTCCACACCAGTCATGCCCTCCAGCCCGCCCCTGGGGGCCTCGTCCATCGCCAGCTCCTCGACCCCCGGAGGCGTCTTCTCCTTCTCTCCCGTCAACATGATCTCCGCCGTCAAGCAGAAAAGCGCCTTTGCCCCCGTGGTGCGGCCGCAAGCCTCTCCGCCCCCTGCCTGCACCACTGCCAACGGGAACACTCTGCAGGGTGAGTTGACCAGTCCTCGCCGTCCGTCTCCTTCGGTGGCAGCTGGGGCACGAAGGGGCGCAAGTCATGGGGACAGCCGGGGCCGTGGGAAAGGAGCGGGTGGGATGTGGCAGGAAGGGCGAGGCGGCCATGCTTTGCCATGTGGCAGCGGCGGCAGCAACGATGCGCCCTGCTCGCTCGTCTCCTCAGCGAAAGGATTTGCACTTCTGCAACAGACTTCCCTCCCCTCTGAATCTGTTCTGGGTTTTCCCCCAACCCTCTGGAGGCGATTTGGGAAGTGGGTAGGAGGCACAAGCGAAGGGAGAACGTAAGAAGGAGCTGCTGGATCAGACCAGGGCCCACCTAGTCCAGCTTCCTGTGCTCACATTGGCCAACCAGATGTGTGTGGAAGTGCGCAAGCAGGATCTGTGGCTCCCAGCAACAGGGATTTAGCAGCGTCGCTGCCTCTGAGCATGGAAGGACATCAGAGCCATCCTGGTTAGAAGCCATTGGTAGCCATTGGTAGCCAGTGTGGTGTAGTGGTTAAGAGCGGTAGTCTCATAATCTGGGGAACCGGGTTCGCTTCCCCGCTCCTCCACATGCAGCTGCTGGGTGACCTTGGGCCAGTCACACTTCTTTGAAGTCTCTCAGCCCCACTCACCTCACAGAGTGTTTGTTGTGGGGGAGGAAGGGAAAGGAGAATGTTAGCCGCTTTGAGACTCCTTCGGGTAGTGATAAAGCGGGATATCAAATCCAAACTCTTCTTCTTCTCTTCCATGAATTTGTCCAATCCTCTTTTAAAGCCATCCAAGTTGGTGGCCGACACCGCTTCCTGTGGGCGGGAGTTCCACAGGCTAACTTTCTCTTATCCGTCCCTGAATCTTCTTCCAACCTTCAGCCTCACTGGTTGTCCACAAGTTCTAATGTCAACAAGAAAGGGAGAAACACTTTTCTCGATCCACTTTCCCTGTGCCATGTAAGATTTTATCAACTCCTATCACGTCTAGGGTGTCCCCACAATGCCCTGGAGTTGAGTGCAGGAGGCATGTTGGGGGGGAAAGTGAGGTTAGTTCTATTGCACCGCCGTAAATCCTTGCACTGAGAGGACGACTTAGCTGGATACTGCCCAATAATGATGACGTTGATTGCATTCATATTTCCTCCATATTTCCTCCTCTCCCCATTTTAACCTCACGCCAACCCTGCGAGGTGGATTAGGCACTGTGGGTGGCCCAGGGTCACTCAGCGGGCTTCGTAGCAGAGTGAAGATTTGAACCCTGGCCTCCTAGGTCTGGGTCCGGGTTCAACGCTCTAACCACTACACTACACAGCCTGGATGTGGTGCATCACCTCCTTTGGGCGGGTCAGTGCCACGGCTGCCCTCTTGACCAACACCTTCCCTGGGGACTTGGGAGAGATGCTAGGAAGGGGTTCCCCTAGCTGCCTTCCTGACCCCGTACGGGAGGAATCCTCACCCGGAGTAGAAATTGGGTGGGTGGGTGTTCCTGGGATCAGGCCCCTTTTACCCAGCAGCAGTTGCTTATGAGGTTAGCCTTGGCTGCAAACTTTCCTCTTCCTTAACCGCCTTTCCTTCTTTGCTTTCTTTCGTCCCACCCCCGTCGTTTCCCTTTTCTGGCTTCCTCTCGCTTCCGCCTCTCTGTCCTTTGCCTGCCCTGCGCCACTGCTTGCCGGGTCCTGCCAACCAGACCAAACCTTTGAGGATTCGGCAGACAAGTTCCACACTCCGTCTCGGTCGCTGCAAGGACTGGCTTATTCCTAATCACACAGTATGTCTCTTCTCTCGTTCTCGCGCCTTGCTCTGTCAGCCTTCCCCCTCTTTTCTGCTCCTCTTGCCGTGAACGACTACGGCTCCTTAACAGCGACCTTGCGAGGTGGGCCTATCTTTTTTGCTCGCCAAAGGGAAGTACCCACTTACTGGGGGTCTCTTACCACCACACGCTTTCTGCTACATTCTCCCCAAAGAACCAGCCCAGAAAACGTTAATTTCATGTTGAAAGAGCCAAGTCCACTTAACCCTTACCACCTATGATTACCAAGCCAGCAGCCCTAGCGAGACCCCCGACCTGGATTTTTAAGAGGTCTGCCATCAAGTCAGATTGCTGAGACTGCAGCAAGAATTCTCCGTAAGCAACTGCGTTGGCCTGAGGTGCAATTTCCAGCAGGGCCTTTGAGGTGGTGGCTCCTATGGTTTGACGGGGCACATGAGCTGTTGCACATGCTCAGTAGAGTTCAGTAGAGAGGGATCTCCCACTTGCCTGGCTCGACAGGCGCAAAGGAAGATCGCCTTCTCTCTTCTGACTGCCACCGTTCAAACCTGGGAGATCGGAAATTGGTAAGATTCTCCTCCTCGCTTGGCAGGACGATGCAGGCGGCTGGCTTTGCCACCTGGTCAGATGCATGCCGTGGTAAGCTACCCCTTGCTACAAGGTCTACAAGGCCTTCAGACCGCGTCTCAGATGCTGCCCAAACCCCAAAGGGTCTACGGCACCAGGTCTTCACCAACCTGGTGCCCTCTGGATACTGTTGGACTACAACTCCCATCAGGAGAGCACCAGGTGGGCACAAGCAATTCCAGACATGTATAAAGGCTCTGTGTGCATAGAGGTCACATCAGGGATGAGGAACCTGCTGCCATCACCGACACAGCAGGACTACAGCCCTCCTAATGCTTGACCATTAACCATATTGACTGGGAATGATGGGAACTGGAGTACAACCTTTATGTATTATTATATCCCACTGGGGCTACATTCCGGGATCGTGCCGGAAGCCAAAACCGCTCATAGTCAAAACACACTGTGCGCAAGGGCAGTTGGGAATGCCGAAATCTTTTTTCCTCGATGCCCGCCCTCTTCTTATTTTGATTTTGCCAAGCGTGCATGCACAAATACTTTTTGGTTTTTCCCCTTCCCTGTTTTATGCCCACAACAACCCCTGTGGGGTAGGCTAGCATGAGAGGCAGTGTCTGCCCCCCTAAAGTCACACCCAGTGAGCTTCATGGCTGAGCTCACTGGTCTCCCAGTTCAACGCTCTGACCACTACACCGCGCTGCCTGGAAGGGCTGCAGGTTCCTCGCCCTTTGTCTACAGCGTGGCTCAGCTGATGACGTGGCCGCAGAACGTGACGCTTCTCTCCTTTGCTTTCCAGCATTGTCGGGTCTCATCGTTCCGCCCATGTGATCGGGAAACGGAGGATGGGCTGGGCTGGAAGGAGGGACCAACAGACTGGCGCTGACCCAGACCCTTGGACTTGGAAGGGTGTGGGCCCTTCTCAATGCATTCCTGGAGCACACGCCTCCCCACCCCCAGCTCCTTCCAACCCGGCTGCAGGATTTCAAGAAGGCTCCCCCTTCTGGTGGGAGGCTGCAGTGCAGTGGGGCAAGCACTGGGAAGTGATGCTCACTCATCTGCTACCAGGAGATGCTCAGCCACAAACTGGGGGCGAAGATACAATTTTTAGGGAGAGGTGTTTGAGGGGGTTTCAGCACTGCCATCCTTTCTTTACCCCGCCCTCTTGCACCATTCCTCACAGCTTTGGTTAAAGAATCGGAAGCAAAGCCCGCCCGCACCATCCCCTCACCTGGGTCCCACCCCCCTAAGGTAGATTTGTTCCCAGCAAAGAGCAGAGTGTTCTCCAGTCTTAGCCGGAGAGGGTCTCCTTTTGGAAGCCAGACCCTGAGCGTCAGCCCTGCGCACGAGGACTCCTGGGTCCTCCTTCTCACTATTCTTAAATTGTTGCTCCCATGGCCTTGGGTGTGGACCCCAGGAAATGATTTGGCAAGGAGGGAGTGGTCTTCCCTATGCTTCGGGGGGTTTCCATCTCTGCTCCAAAGCAAACTGGTTCACGTTACACCCCTGGCCAAACCGGAGATTGCTTTTCGGCAAGGTGGAAGAGAGCCTGCGTTCCAAACAGTGACACTGCCTTTCCCTTTTCTAAACCCCCACCTTGCAACGCGCAGGCCCTATCAGTCCTCCAGCACAGAAAAACCTGGGTGCTGGAGGACCTCGCTGTGGGCAAAGCCTTTGGGGCTCACCGCTCCATCACATCGCCCGAAAGGTCCATCCCTTGCCAACCGCAACTGCTAGCCAGCCTCCTCTTAACACGTGTCTTAATCTGAAGGTTTTGGGGCTAAGCAGCCCCTTCTAACTGGACACGTGTGAAGAACCCTGGCAACTTTCCCCCTTCCGCCCAGATCTTGGCCATGTGTCGCTCATCTTCTTCCCAGGCGTTCCAGATGTTGAAATGCCCACCCACGAATCCCCCAGAGAGAGTTTCTCCTTTGCTCCCTTCCGCCTCGCCCCATCGAGGCAGGAAGGGCCGCCGTCTCCCGATTCCTGAAACCAGAAAGGGCTCGACAAGCCAAATCCTTCTAAATTGACGTGCTCTTGGGCCGAGTGAATGGCAGGAGCCTTTGTGGGGACAACTGGCTTCTCTGCCGAGAAGCAGCAAATGCCCCGTACTGGCCGGCTTTCCGGTGCAGGAGGGTGGGCTCAGAGCTCTAAGGTTTTGCAAGCTCGTTGATCAGGAGGATCACACAGCAGGACCCCACTCCGGTCCCACCTCCCCTGGGATCCAGTAGGTGACAGGAAGCTACCTTGTACCAAGAGAGAGCACAGATACACCTGGCTCTGGTGGGACCTTCTACATGCAAGGCAGGTGTCCTGGCCCTCAGCATCATTGATACTTAGTGGCAGGGACTTCACAGGACTTCAGGCAAGGATCCCTCCCTTGCAGATGCCACAGGTGGGAGATGGGACCTTCTACATGCAAGGCAGGTGTCCTGGCCCTGAGCCAAGGCCCAACCAGTGAGCCGCAGTAGCTCTGGAGTGGTGGCGCAGTTTGTGGCTTGCGGGAAATATTTTTCCACCTGGTGTAATACTTAAGAGACAGCCCTGTAGGAGCAGAAAGTGAGGAGGGAGTAGGCAGGGTAGACGATTCTTGGAGTAAGAGCACAGGCGTCGTCTCTCCAAGCCCCGGACTCACAGTTCACGTGAATGTCTCCCCATAGGGGACCCACCCCCAACCCGTCATAGAATTGTAGAGTTGGAAGGGACCCAGGGGTCATCTAGTCCAACCCCTTGCAATACCCCAGAATACCCCTCCCCGGTATCCCAGAGCCGGCTTTCTTCCCCCAGGAGCAGAGAAGGTGATAGGATAGCCCTGGTGCCCACGGAAAGTGATCCTCAGCTGTAGTCATATCAACACTCGTATCTGACTTTAAGAGTCGTGGCTTCCCCCAAAAAAATATTCCTGGGAACTGTAGTTTTGTTACGGGCACGGAGGGTGGTAAAGAAGCCCTGGATAAACTACAGTTCTATGGATTTTTTTGGGGGGAAGCCATGATTCTCTACAGTGGAATAAGAGGGCTTTAAATTTATGGTGTGGCCGCAACCAAAATCTACGGTATAAACTTCTTCCTGGTTGTCTTATCTGTGTTCCCCTATAAGGAATCACAGGAATTTTAGATTGTTGAGGGAAAAACATAGTAGATACTCTGTTTTGAGATTTCCCCAGCCTCTCCTCAGAGAACTGCCGGTCCCTGGGGAGAGGGAATGGCTATGAAACCGGTTTAAAGAGTAGACTAGACGCCAATCCTTTTGAAGGAATGTGCTCCTCTACGTGAAACGTGCCTGTGGACAGCACAGAAATTGAGAATTGGGTGTTGCCTCAGCAAACACTCCCCTGATCCCAGATTTGCTAAAATGCTGGGGGATTTGGGGGTGCTTGAGGGTGTGGGAACTCCTTTGCCGAACCCCCACAAACGCTTCCCCCCCGATGGGCTGGTTTTTAGTTTCAGACCTGGACGGAAAGGAACGAGATATCAGGGACTGCGCCCAACTTTAGCGGGGATCCTTTTTTCCCAGGGGGAGACTCAGCAAGCGCCGGACAAAGAGCTAAGCAGCTTCTCATCCCATGAACTGATTCTCCCCGCCCCGCTGTGCTGGCATTACATGGCAAACACGGGTGCCCACCCAACTTGGTTCTGCAACCAAAGCCGCTCCCCTGGAAAACTGGGCACCCACCATGTTGTTTCCACACTAAGGCCCCTGGAAAACTCACACTGGCATTAGTTGTCAGTCCCTTTTCCCCTTGGCAGCCACAGCGATTTCAGGACGTGCCTTTCCATGTTCGGAAAATGGCCTTCAGGAGGGCTTCGTTCCTATTTCCAGTTTCACGTTTTCCTCCTTGGTTTTCTTTTCAACCACCCGGGCAATCTCAAGCCCGTACGAAATGCCGGTACACTGTTTTTTGCATATCTTTTTTTAATATCTATATAAAAAACCCTCTCCCTTTCTTTTTTAAAAGCGACAAAAATACAGTCCTGTGTTGTTGTTTTTACACACACTTCTTTTCTTTTTTGTAAAAAGAGAATTAGAGTTTTAAAAAACTGGGGCGCGATCCAGCAGAGCGGTCTCCGGCCCGAGCCCCGCTAAAAACGAAGCGCTGTGTGTGTTTCAGCGGAGCTGTGGTCGGGGAGCTTCCTGCTGCCTCGCGCCCCTGGCTTTTCAGGCGAATCTTCTCTCGGCCTCCCGCAGTTATTTTTCTAGCATTATTTCCAAGTGGGAAGGAGGGGATCAAACTTTTGTAAATAAAGATTATGGGGAAAGAAGAGCCCCGGATGCTGGGCTTGCAAACCACCCCTTCGCAGGGGGGCTTGTTCTCTCTCTGTGTATTTATCTTTGTCGTACGGAGAATCCTTCTCCTGTTTCATGTTTCCTTTGTGTATTTTTTTCATTATTGTTTTTAATTTTATTTTCTACATTGTCCGTTGTGTGTCCTGTGACGGCTGTTGTACAATAGCAATGTTGATAAATGCCCGGCTGCACTGTTTTTCAATGTAAGCACACGTCAATCAACTACGACTTTCATTTCTTAGGAAATGGGCCTTCTCGAGTTGAAAGATTTGCTACCGCTTCCGCCACCTCTCAGGTTGAAAGGTCAGGGCGGTCCTTATCCTCACCCACTGCCACTTTCCTCCCCTAAATACTGTTTCAACTTGGATTTCTTTAGAGGTAAAGGTAAAGGGACCATTAGGTCCAGTCGTGGCCGACTCTGGGGTTGCGGCGCTCATCTCGCTTTACTGGCCAAGGGAGCTGGCGTACAGCTTCCGGGTCATGTGGCCAGCATGACTAAGCCGCTTCTGGCGAACCACAGCAGTGCACGGAAACTCCATTTACCTTCCCGCCGGAGCGGTACCTATTTATCTACTTGCACTTTGACGTGCTTTCGAACTGCTAGGTTGGCAGGAGCAGGGACCGAGCAACGAGAGCTCACCCTGTGGCAGGGATTCAAACTGCCGACCTTCTGATCAGCAAGCCCTAGGCTCTGTGGTTTAACCCACAGGGCCACCCCCTCTGCCAACCTGGTGCCTTCCAGGTGTTTTGAACTACAACTCCCAGCAGCCCCACAAGTTTCACACGCTGTGTGTTGGAATACATACATCCTGTACTGGAGGAGCCGAAGGGCAGCGTTGCCAACTTGAATCAAATATTGGGGAGGCCTAGGTAGGCCCCACTCTGCATAACTGATCATATGATGCAACACACACACACACCCTATTTGAATGGAAATGCCCATCAACTTTTGGGGGGCCCTAAAATATTTTATTGGAGGGCTTAAGACCCTTCAGCCCCTAGGAGTTGGCTCTGATGCCAGGGTGCCTTGAAAATGTTTGCCCTCCCCTGTCAGATGAATTCACCACTTTGCATGTAAAGGAGATGTGCTATGTCTGAGCTATATCCCATCCCCAAAGGAACACTTCCATATAACTCTAAATATTCCAAGTTGACTAGAAAATGAGGGTGTGCATTGGCTTGGGATGAAACCTGAGCCGGAACAGGAGCTTCAGAGAGATTATGGGATTTTATTTCTGAGTGAAGTCAAACCAGAGAGTCCCCAAAGTGCCTCAGCATCTCTGACACACACAAAACCCACGCCACCGGCAAGCGTCTGCTAAAACTGAGCTAACGTCTCTTCAGCTCGCCATATAAGCAAAACTCCCCATATAAGGGGAGGGAGAGTTGCACTGTGAGTTGACAGGTCTAGTTTTTAATCAAAGGGAATTGTTTTATCTGGAGATTCCGATTCCTGGTGCTTTTGGCGGTGGGGAACAATGGGTGCCCTTATAGTTCTCTCAGCCCACCCCCTGAAAAGGAATAAACTTTAAGGGTGCCTAGCACAAGAAATGGAACTGATGCATCTGCTATTTGGCAGGTTCCTTGCCTAGGGGCACCTCTCTTACGTCTGCTGTTGTCCAACCCACAAAAATGCTTGGGGACAATGATTGATTACTCTGTATCCTCCCCTAAAACTGTAAAGGCTGCCCTGGTGCAAAAAGACCGCTGCATTTATTCTGAAATTTGGCAGGAGTCAACTAACTCTCAGCGGCATCTACCATGCCTGCAAATCCCATCTACTACTGTCCAATCTATATAAAATTGCAAAGGTGCCCAGCACAAAAACTGCTACACAGCTTGGCAACTTGGGCAGACTTAATCCATTACGGAGTGGTCGCTTTGCTTGTAAATTTCATCCACTTCTTACAGAACAAAACAAAAAAAAAGACAGGTTCTGATTTCCCAACAGCCAATTGTGGCGAATGAGGATTTGCCCCACTTTCCCCCAAAGTGAACTCAGACCCTGAGCTCAATCCAGTGCTTTGGACTGAAGTGGGCTGTTTTCTGTAGTGCCGAATCGAGGCCCAAACCGAATCTTCCGCTCTCTAAAGTGCAGGGCTGTGTCTCTCAGTGCCAGAAGCAATAACTATCCTGTTCAGACCTTGGGAATATGCAAACATACCCCCTTCTCCCAATCCTCAATCTAATCTGGTTTAAGTCCTCCTTCCCCGTCGTGATTTGTAGGCTAGGACAACGAAGGTCTTTGGCTAAGCCAGACGTCAAAGACTCGTGGAATTGTAGAATGGGAAAAGTTCCCCACTGGTCATTAGTCAAACTGCCTGCAGTGCAGGAATCGCAACAAAAGGAGCCCTGACCACTGGCTATCCAAACTTGTTTAAAATCCTCCAGTGAATTAAAAACCTCTCCGATGAAGGAGAATTCACTACCTTCCCAAAGCAGAATCATAGAGTTGGAAGAGACCACAAGGGCCATCGAGTCCAACCCCCTGCCAAGCAGGAAACACCATCAGAGCACTCCTGACATATGGTTGTCAAGCCTCTGCTTAAAGACCTCCAAAGAAGGAGACTCCACCACACTCCTTGGCAGCAAATTCCACTGTCGAACAGCTCTTACTGTCAGGAAATTCTTCCTAATGTTTAGGTGGAATCTTCTTTCTTGTAGTTTGGATCCATTGCTCCGTGTCCGCTTCTCTGGAGCAGCAGAAAACAACCTTTCTCCCTCCTCTATATGACATCCTTTTATATATTTGAACATGGCTATCATATCACCCCTTAACCTCCTCTTCTCCAGGCTAAACATGCCCAGCTCCCTTAGCCGTTCCTCATAAGGCACCGTTTCCAGGCCTTTGACCATTTTGGTTGCCCTCCTCTGGACACGTTCCAGTTTGTCAGTGTCCTTCTTGAACTGTGGTGCCCAGAACTGGACACAGTACTCCAGGTGAGGTCTGACCAGAGCAGAATACAGTGGCACTATTACTTCCCTTGATCTAGATTCTATACTCCTATTGATGCAGCCCAGAATTGCATGCTTTACTGCCGGTTGGCTCATGTCAAGTTTGTGGTCAACCAAGACTCCTAGATCCTTTTCACATGTACTGCTCTCAAGCCAGGTGTCCCCCATCTTGTATTTGTGACTCTCATTTTTTTTCAGATGCAGACCTGAGCTCAGTTCTTCACCCACCAAACTGCACTGTCCCTCAAAATGAATTGCTGACTCTAGGATTGACAAATGACAAGGAAGGTGGGAATAGTATATATGTTCAACAGCAATTTCAACACACACACACACACACACACACACACACACAGCCAGCAGGTAAAGTTTCCACAATGAGGAGAGAAACATGATTACCTGAGAAAGTCTGCACATCAAGCCTCTATTTAAAGGCACAGGAGCACGGGCTGCTTAAAAAGTTGGCAACCCAGCTGGGTCATTCCCCTCCCCAGCAATTCTACAGAACGGTTGTGGATGCTTGGCAGCTGATTCGTGTTCCCAGCACACCCACACGAGTCAGAGGGTGGTGGCTGGAAGTAATTTACTACGTGTGTGTGTGGACAAAGGCATGTCCCGCTTGAGCTGAGGTCGAGGCCTGGGCTCAGCCAATTGGAAGGTTCCGGAAGGCCAGCGGAGAAGCCGCGAGATGGAGTGGGTGTGGGAGAGGTCCAGAGAGCGAGAGAGGAGATCCAGCCGCGAAACGGGCCTGGCGAAGGAGCCTGCCAGCTGGGTGGGGTCCAGGGAGCACAGTGGGGGTAGCCAATGGTCGAGGAAGCCATTGCCAGCATTGCACAAAATTGGAGGGTGACCTGTGCACCTCAGTTACGCTGTGTGATGCTGGCATAAAGGAAAGGTTCAAGATGTCTTATGGCAGACTTTACCAGCCTGGTGCCTGGACTGCAGCTCCCATTAACCTGGAGCTGATGGGAATTGTAGTTCAAAACACCTTGCAAGGAGCAGCAGGTTGGAAAGGCTATTTCTTGTGGATGGGAAGCAAGTCAGAAGAACGCTAGAAGAGCCTCCTGGATCGGGCCAGACCCTCCAAGTGTCCCTATTTTGCAGTCCCAGTTTTACAGGTACCATCCTGGTTTCTGATTTGATTCCAGAATGTCCCACCTTTCCCTAGGATGTCCTTATTTTAAACTGGAGAAATGTGACTGGAATCATGTGACCCCCCCAAGCCATCTGAAGGCAGCCCTGTATAGGGAAGTTTTTTTAATCTTTAATCTTTAATGTTTTATTATGTTTTGATATATCTTGGACGGCGCCCAGAGTGGCTGGGGCAACCCAGTCACATGGGCTGGGTATAAATAGTAAAATAATATTACAGTGGTACCTCGGGTTAAGAACTTAATTCATTCTGGAGGTCCGTCCTTAACCTGAAACTGTTCTTAACCTAAAGCACCACTTTAGCTAATGGGGCCTCCTGCTGCTGCCGCGCCACCGGAGCACAATTTCTGTTCTCATCCTGAAGCAAAGTTCTTAACCCGAGGTAATATTTCTGGGTTAGCGGAGTCTGTAACCTGAAAGGTATGTAACCCGAGGTACCACTGAATTAAGGAACAGGTAAAGGTAAAGGGACCCCTGACCATTAGGTCCAGTCGTGACCGACTCTGGGGTTGCGGCACTCATCTCGCTTTATTGGCCGAGGGAGCTGGCGTACAGCTTCCGGGTCATGTGGCCAGCATGACTAAGCCGCTTCTGGCGAACCAGAGCAGCGCACGGAAACGCCGTTTACCTTCCCGCTGGAGCGGTACCTATTTATCTACTTGCACTTTGACGTGCTTTCGAACTGCTAGGTTGGCAGGAGCAGGGACTGAGCAACGAGAGCTCACCCCGTCGCGGGGATTCGAACCGCCAACCTGCTGATCAGCAAGCCCTAGGCTCTGTGGTTTAACCCACAGCGCCACCTGCATCCCATTAAGGAATAGTTCATCCCTATTTTCATCACAGAAATGTTGGAGGGTATGCAATGGCTGCTCTTGTCCAGCATGCTGTTCTCACAGTGGCCAAGCAGATGCCCCGAACAGAAACCGGCAAGCAGGATTCGAACACAGGAGCAACACAGCTTCCAGCAAGCGTTATTCAGAAGCCTTGCTGCCTCCAACTGTGGAAGCAGGGCAGAGCCATCCCGGCTAATAGCCATCGCTCGTTCTCTCCTCCTCCAGGAATTTGACCGATCCTCTTTTCCAGCCATCCAGAGTCAGGGGGCAGGC